TATATATATATGGGGGGCGCATACCAGGGATTGAACTCGGCTTGAAAGGCAGACCACCGAATGGTTGAGCTAAATCCCCGGCCCCAAATGTTTATATTTGACAGATACTCTCATGAAAGTAGTCACTCTTTGCCCTTAGAGGAACACACACATTCAGCGTATGGATTGTCTTTCCCTGCATGTTGTGATTGTTCCGTAACTAGCAACTTTTTGCTTAGAGAATGCTTCATCCACCATCAGATTGTTTTTGCCTAGTGTGGCTTCTTACCAAAGAGTGTTCTTCAAAGCTGAGCAATATGGCAATGGGCTCCCGCTCTTGGAATTCTCCAGTTGTGACTCTTTATCTAACATTCAGATGTAGGTGGATGAAAGGCTCTTTTGAAGATAATCGCAGTGCTGCTATGCAGCAATACCTGTGGCTAAGTTGCACGTAATTCTATAAAAGTTCTTAATCAGTATCCACCATCTGGAAGTCCATTTCCCACACTGTGATACATGTGTCCAGGTTTCTTTCAGAGAAAAATGGATGGTAGCACTGACCATTACTCTCAAGTACCCACCAGTGATATATTTACTTTTGTTTCTGTGAACTTATGCTCTGCTAAAGTAGAAGCCAGTTCCACAGAAGGAAAAGTTTTGCTAATGTAGCATCAAAGAGTCTTTTGCAATGCAATCTGAATACTTCTTCTTATGATTTGAGGCTCTTCATGCACCTGAGTCCTCAGGTTAGACAGGGAGATATGATGTTAATGGGGTGAGTGGTCCAGAGTCCCAAGGAGAAATTGCATTAGTGCTCCAAAATGAAGTGAGGAAGAGTAAGTTTGGAATGCAGAAAATTCCTTAGGACATCTGCTGGTATTTTCATGCCTTGTTATTAAGGTTAGATAAGAACTTTAACAATCCAGTCCAGGAACAATGAGAACTTGCCCAAACACCTCAGAAATGAAGGCATGGATTATGCGTCCCTGTAATGAACCCTGAACACTGTGATACCTCCTAAAGTTATATACATAAAATCTTTAGGATATATTTGCATTTATGTACTATACAGCAAAATAGTAATTGTGTTAGTATCAGTTGTTAAATATCATTGTATCTGCATTATGAGTCGAGCCATGCCATGTGCTGTGGAAGCTTCACCCAAAGGAAACTCTGGCTCCTCACAGAGGGAAGGAGTTAATGCAATCCCAGTTCCATGCAAAATAGCTTTATTATATTAATGGAGTTATAAACTTGGTGCTTTCTGTATTATAAATTATGCATGGTTTTGGGAGATCTGTCTGCTTGGGAAATCAATATGGGATATGCACTGACTGTTAATCATCCCATATCATCTTGACTGGATGAAGCAATATCTATCAGATTACCCAAGCCCACTCCCGGAACTGCCAGTCACATATTTGAGATATTATGTTATGGAGCCAATCTGACTGGGGAGGAGTGAAGGGGATGGTGGGTGGATCTGCCAATACTTCAGGTCGAAAGAAAGGAGGATAAAAAGGAGCTCTATTGTAGTGTTTTGAAGCTCTGACTTCCTCAGGTACTCAAGTCAGCCTCATCACCAGGAAACTCCAGGTAGGCTGCAGGTCTTCCATGTTGGGAGTGGTGTTGATTTATTAATCCGTCTGTTGTCTCAATAACAAGTTCTGTGGCCAGCAGCTATGAGATTTTGTGGCTCTTCTGCACAAAGATGACCACTATGCTCGCTGCTGGTTTTGAAATTGTAAGCCTAATGCATTTGTGTGTGTGTGTGTGTGTGTGTGTGTGTGTGTATGAGTACTTCATCAGCTGGATTATTATTAATTATAGTGACCTCATATAGGAATCTCTAAATGGTACGTGGAACTTTTGAGTTCACAGAAGATGACTTTTGTCACTTTCCTCCAGAGAGACTTGGGACTGAGAAGGCAAATTGAGTACAAGCTAATTCAAGGTTATCCTATTGTATCCTTGATAATGGTACAAACTCTCAGCTAGAATTTTGGTTTAGTACATTATGTAGTAGCTATCAGTGAGCACATGTTTATGTGTGTTTGTGTTGTCCATGAAAGAGGACTATGTCTCAGTCCCCAGCCCCTGCTATTTTTCCTAGAAGCAAGAATCTCTCTATGTGTATCTTGACTGTGGACTAAATAATTTTATACATTTCTGGGCAATTGCTCCATGCATTTTAAAAATCTGTGTACTAGGGATAGTAATAAAATTTTCCCTATATATGAAAGGCAAAAGTAAGAAAGAGATGAAAATACATGTTAGGAAACAAGGTACACATATATTTCATTTTAAAAATGAGACGCTAAAAAGTATAAATGCAATTAACATATAGAAATTCAATCACCTTATATTAGAGAAAATTATATTTGTCTTTATTTTTATTTTATATTTCATGGTATTTAGCACACAAACATATTTAAACTTATCTATCAGTTGGGAAGGACAAATTTTATAATGATAATAAGAGAGTATTTCTTTCAAGAATTGCAACGGCATTTATTTAAGATACTGCACAGAAATTACAGTAAATTGAAAGTAAATGACTTTAAATTTTGAAAATTGGCCAACGCACACTGGTCTCCAAAATTACCTTCATCTTCTCTTTCATTTCTATTAGTGCTAATTCATAAAAATCCTTTATTTCTGGCCAATATATCTTCCTGAGTATGAGTAAGAAATAAAAGAAACAGGGGTGGGGATTTAACTCAGTGGTTCCACTGTCTGCCTCACGAGCACATGGACCCAAGTTCAATCCCAGGCACCAAAGAAGGAGAAAAACAAAGAAAGAAATGTTTTGTATGGTGTTATGGGTGTAATAATAATGATGGAAAAAGAGAGAAAGAGAAATAAGGAGAATACTGGATCAAATGTGTTCATAATGTTTCAAATGTTCAGAAACTGACCTCTGACCTTGCACTTGATGCAGCAGGTCTTTCTCTGGTGAAGAGCTTCCCGTATTCTACATCACCATGGACCCCAAGGGGAAAGGTGCGTGCGTCAACTCAGGGAGTTGTTGGCTTCATTGACACTCTTATGTGAGTTACTAGTAAATAAATTTAGTTAATATCAATAAGCTTCCAATTCATAGGTGTAGAAGAAGTATCATGACTTTTCTGTGAAGGAATTACACAGCATTTAATAGAGTGATTCAGTCATCATCAAGTGGTGGATTTTCCTAGCTTTAGACATTTGGAAAGAACTAAATATCTTTTGCAGTGTATTATTGGAGGTCATGGAGCATGGGTGGGGTGCTATAATTAATGGAGAGAGGACAGGTGCTGGTAAGCACAGTCCATTGCACTGGATACATCTCTGAACAAGAGTGTAGGTTGCACAGAAAGCCACAAGGCTGAGTTTGAGCTACTCTGGACCACAAGAGCCAATGAGTCCAATTTGTCTCATCTCTAGAAGGTCAGAATTAAACTTCTCTGGTTTCCTGGAGTATTATCTCATTTGGCCAAGTTGTGTCACCGTGGCGAAACTCAGTTTTGAGCTCACAATGCAGGGCTATTGGCCAATGTTCAGCTTATGGTGCATTCTTAGTTTCATTCAAGACAATGCCTTTTAGCAATGAGAAGCAGGCTAGTGTTAAATATTTTCTTTTGCTTCCTGAGACATTTTGTGTGAAAAGTAGATTAGTAACAACTAATACATTTTGTATGATATAAACAATAAAATCAATTGTGCATTTTGTCATATCAGACTGTAAAAATGAATACAATGATAAATTTGAAGATAACTGCACTTACAGTTAAAGAACATTTATCCACTTATGAGTTTCCCAGCACTTATATAATTTTTTCTATGCAGAAAGTGTATTTCATTAACATATGCACATAAAATATTCAGTTAAAATTCTATTATGGTAGATTGTATAAAGTAAATTTTTGGATTCAATATGATTTTGGAAAAGCATATCTCTATCAAGTAAATCATATCACATTATTTTAAAATTTTAGCTAAAGCATTATGCTACATGATATAGTGTAATATTAATTATGTTCAATTATTTTAGCTATTTTTCATTTATTTTTAAAATATTTATCTAGTTTTATCTTGGAGATTTTTCCTTGTATTTATCAAAGTTTCTGTGAAACATTCTTTTTCTGTATTTTTTTTTTTTAACCCGGTGATCACATTCAGGACCTCGGGTTGTGAGGCAGGTGATAGAATCTCTGAGACAAATTTCCACCCCTGAACTTAGTCTTATTAAGGCATCTTATACAAAAAACTATTTGGGAGTAGTCCCACTGAGGGTAAAATGTGATTTTTAGTTTTTAAACTACTCACTATTTTTTTATCGTTTTGTGAGTGTGAATCATTGCTAGTATCCTTATTATTATTATTATGCTTGGATCGTTCCATCAAATCGAAGAGCAAATTGACTGAATCACCTCTGATCATTCACAACGATTTTGAAAGTGATATTTTTAAAACTGAGTAAGTAGATCCTGTCTAGCCTCTGAGGGCCCCATCACCACACTGCATAACGCCAATGTTGTCCTTCTTGAGATTGGCAGTAAGCTCTGCACATAGTGCACCCCAGGAACACAGATGCGGTCCCTGCTGCAAAGACCAGACTGAGAGCCCACAGGTGAGAAGGATGTGAGGAAGTTAAGGGCACAGACCACAGTGCGGGTGCTCTGCCTCCTCCCCTGGTAATGGTAGGACTCAGGAATATCATTTGCCTCTTCTAAATCTCGTGTTTCAATACATAGGGTGATTGTTATGACGCCTCAGTCAATTGGTGAGAGGTATAATAAAGCTCAAATTTGGAAAGTTATGCAATGTTATTGGCCTCGTGCCAGGCAATTGCATAGAGGAAGATCCAGGCCATGGCATTTTCTTAGGAAAGGATTTTCTTATACCCAGCATCAGCAAACTGGCAACTCTGTTTATTCTTAACAAGGAAGAAGATGAAACCTCCGGATAATATGTGGTGTTCTCATATATCTGTTTAAGATGCTCCTATCTATGAGTGATTTAAAAATTACAGACTCCTAGAGAATCTCACTGCTGATCAGCTGCATAAATTCTGATGACATTAGTTTATTAATTAATTTTTTTGGTACTGGGATCAAAGTCAGGACCTTGTGCTTGGAACGCAGGTGTTGACACCAATGATCTAAATCTCCAACCCAACATTAATCTATTTTAAAAGGATACTTTAAAATTCTTGAATCAAATTGAATTCAATATCCAAGTGTTTGCCAAGTACACAAGCCTTTGTTGGTATAATATGAACGTCCAGGAGTCATCTTCTCAGACTATGAAAATGGCCGTCACATACAGGCACACAGTAGAAACTGTTTTTTCTTCCTTACTTGACCATTTACAGCACCAAGTCATGCCTTGAAGGCAGTGGAGATAGATGAGGCTTCCCCGAGAAGAATGGCTAGATACGACCTCACCAAATGGACTGACCCTGATGCTGTGGTTTTGTTTGAGCAGGGTCCCTCCTCCTGCTGCTGGTCTCAAGCCTGCTCCTGTGCCAGAATGGGGCCTCCCATAGCACTTGTCTTCCTGGGGACAAATGCCACCTGATCCTCCAGAAACTGTATCAGAGAGCATATTATTTGTCTCGGAGCATGTATTTACATGTGTCACAATTGCTCTTAAAACTGGTAAGCATCACATTTGTATATCTTCCCAAATGGAGAAAATCGAATCATGATGGGCCTACAATACATTTCAAATGTGAAAAATTCAGCAGCCAAATATCTAATAAAATATGAATATGAATAAAATGGTGTCAGTCAATAATCTCAGAAATGGAAGGAAGGGAATCTTTTATACAATTTTATTGCAAAGCAATAATCATTAAAAAGATCAGTTAGTACATGTAAGTTTAACATTCTAAGCACTTGCCATATCACTTTTAATCAGGGCTGAGGACCAGCACTGATTTCTTGCTCTTGCACAATAAGCTGCTCTATAGGCGTCCTTCACTGAGTGCACTGCACATACCTGGGAAGCCAGAGTGGTTTTGCAGTGCATTGTGTGGACTGAGTAGAGTTCACTAAACTGAACTCTCATAGAGGAAAGATACACCTAATTCTGTGAACAATATCCTCTCTTCTAGGTGAGACAGTAGAGTGGGGTTTAGAGCAGCTAAGGACTCTGCAGATAATGTGGCCCAGCTTCTCGGACACACAAAGATATTCATATAATTCTTGTTGCCTCCATTTTCAAGTCGCCATGGTGTGTCTCCAAATCATCCTATCGATGCTTTTAAATCTTCACAAATTTGGCTTAATGGTGCTCACTCAATTTCTCTTTGCTTTTCATCTCAAAGTATTATTGACAATTTCCAGTGGTGTTTTGCTCCATTTTATTCCTTATCTTGTCACATTGAATATCTTGTATTTTGAATTTATACGAACCTGGCAATACTCATGTTTAAGGATTAAAAATAATTTTCAGAAACACAATTATTAATCTTTATTTATAGAAAGAATATGACTTTGGACCCAGAGGAAAAAAGAGATTCAATACTTGGATGTAGATGCCTTCGCAGGATGGGTTTAGCTCAGATACTAGAGAGAGTGATAATTACAGTACTTACAGATGTGCAGTTTTTACAGCTTTTCGTGTTTGCATTTCAAAGTGTGACTCCTAGGGAGGGTGAGTGGACAAGAGCACAGCAAAGAAGCTAAGAGGTGGTGAGTTTAAAATATGAATTGAAAATAGGGAGATTGCAGAGCTACTGGGAAACACCAGGCTCAATGGTGACTTTCTTCATTCTTCACATTCAGTTTTCATTCAAATCTCACTGTTCAAAAAATTACACATCCAGCAATGTATTCATATTTTTAATGAATCCATGTTTTCAAGTTGCATGTCCATACTAATGAAATTCTCTTCATCATTTTTAGACAGATGTGTATTCCCATCACCCGGGCTACTTCTCGCCAGCCAAAAAAATGTGTCACACATTCGATATTCTCACTCCAGATGAGCGGCAGGACGCCAAGCTGATGCCGGTGAGTCCCTAGCCTGGCTCCACCCGAACAGCTCAGGCAGTGACTGGCTCTGCCCTGCACCAGGCTCTCCCAGGCTCTGTGATCAACCATAGCCGTAGTCATACCTTTTGTGAAAAGGACTGAAGAGTAAGAACACAAATGAAAGGACTCTATGTATTTGCTGAACTATACTTCCAATTTAAGGTTAAGTGAAGATTGCACTAGAATCAGAAATTGGCCATGCAGATCATGTTCCTTTAGCCGATGCCTTGTAACTAGCGTTGAATATAGTATGCTCCTTGAATCGAGCAGATCTCTCTTCCCTATGGATCACAGGTTACTGTGACTCCTGCGTTTGTGGTGCGTTCATCAGCGACCCCTGTCTATTTACAACTTCTCTCCCGTACTCCCAAAACCCTCCTCATCCTTCTCCCTTTGTTACTGCTTCTCTGATGCCGACTTCCTCACTGTGCACTCGTACCCCTGCCTCATTTTTTGCTTCAGCTGAACGTCAATCCACTGTTCCGGAGCTGTTCTATGCTGTGTCCACTTTCTCAGAGATGCAACTCAGGTCTGTCTTCTGATAAAAAAAAAAAAAAAAAAAAAAAAAAAAAAA